ATAACTGAGAAAACAAACACAGAGAAACTGACTTGTCCCAATTATGATAGCAGCTTACTGGGAACAGAACTCTGGTCTCCTGATTCCTGACTCTTCGCTGTTTCCTTTGCAACCACTGCCTTGGTGACTGCTAAAAAAAAAGGAGAGAAAGAGAGGTGAGCAAAGAAGGCCCTGTATAAGCACTCGGAGAAATGTACATCCTTGTCTTACATACATATGGATGATGATATCATCCATATCATCAGCATCCTTCACTGCTGATATGTGAATACTCAGTGAGTAGACTGGTGAAGGGCTCCTATTATGAAGTATCAAAAAGTAAGACTAGAATGGAATGAGCACCTTGGGATGAAAAAATAAGATTAAACCAAAGAAAATATTAACAGTCTCAGTCTAGGTATTTTAGATGTTAAATAAGAAATAAAAGCAAGTGCTTTATGAATTTCAAAACAGGTCAGATTCCAAAGGCTGAAAGTAATCAGGGCTGGCTTAGTGGAAGGGATAAATTGGAGATGAACATTCAAGAGTTATAGGATTTGAGAGAAGAGGATAATTTAGATAAGGTAAGGAAATCCTAGGACCTGGAAAGTCAGGCTGAAAAGGCATGATGGCTCAAGATGATGCAGGGTACGGAAATCCAAAGTTAAACAAACCAAGTAGCTTTGAGGAGAGTGAAGAAAGAAGACTAACTAGAAGCTTGAGTAGAGGGTACCTGGGAAATAGGCTGAAAAGGCATGATGGCTCAATGGTGCAGAGTCCCAGGAAGGCTGACTGTACTCTGACAGAGACCACTGCAGGTGCTTAAGCAGAATAACCTGGTTAACGTTTTAGACTCATATGGCAATGACATACAGGATGGACTGAGCCAAGAGAATAAAAGGGAAGGCCAAGAGCTATTTTTCTAATAAGAATAATATGGAATTTTATAGACTAAAGAATACTATACAATATTTATATACAGTGAGCTATTATTGCATAGACACTATGCTAGCTTTTCTCATTTGATTCTCCTAAAACCATATGAAGGAAGTCAAATTATCATCTCCCTCTCCATCTACTGTGCTATACAGTGGGTCCTTATTAGTTATCTGTTCTATACACACACACACACACACACACACACATATATGTGTGTGTATATATATATATATATATATATATATATATGAGAAGCCCACAGTGATTTTTGGTATCAGTCCAGTGAGATATCCTCTGAACAAAAGTGTCCAAGCATAGAATACTTAGGAGCTAGCAGCAGTGATTTTTAGACCTATAAGAATTTCCAGCTCCCTCGGAATGTTCTTCCACTGCATCCGCACACTCGTTTTGGTAGACCAACTGTTTGTCATTCAGATCCTTTGCATCCATAAATCCATTGTCTGGGTCATCCATGCCTAAAATGTCCATCATTTTCAAACACCCCAAAGTCTGTTAGATCTCATCATAAGTGAAAGCTCTCCTGCTCAGGGAAAAAGATTATAAACCACAGAAGTGACTTAAACTTGTGAAATTCAAAGATGGATTCCTTACAAATTTAGTAAAGAAACGAGAAAGTCCTCAACTTGGCTGGACTTCAGAAGCATTTTATTTCTATAAAAGGAAAAATAAGTTATTTATTGCTGCAAGTTTTTTTTCCTTTTGAACTATTTATTTTGTTTTGCAGTATAGCCAGTGAACAATATTGTGATAGTTTCAGGTGAACAGCCAAGGGACTCAGTTCAGTTCAGTCGCTCAATCGTGTCCGACTCTTTGTGACCCCATGGACTGCAGCATGCCAGGCTTCGTGCCTATCACCAACTTCCAGAGCTTACTCAGACTCATGTCTATAGAGTCGGTGATGCCATCCAACCATCTCATCCTCTGTCATCCCCTTCTGCCTTCAGTCTTTCGCAGCATCAGAGTCTTTTCCAAGGAGTCAGTTCTTCTCATCAGGTGGCCAAAGTATGAACTGGTTGGATCTCCTTGCAGTCCAAGGGACTCTCTCTTTTTTTTTTTTTTTAATAGGCTAATTACTTTACATCATTACAGTAGTTTTTGTCATACATTGAAATGAATCAGCCATGGATTTACATGTATTCCCCATCCCAGTCCCCCCTCCCACCTCCCTCTCCACCCTCAAAAATCTTCTTCAACACCACAGTTCAAAAGCAGCAATTCTTGAGTGCTCAGCTTTCTTTATGGTCCAACTCTCACATCCATACTTGACTCCTGGAAAAACCATAGCTTTGACTAGACAGACCTTTGTTGGCAAAGTAATGTCTTTGCTTTTTAATATACAGGTATTCATTTTCCTCCAAACCTCCCTCCCATCCAGGCTGCTGCATAACATTGAGCAGAGTTCCATGTGCTATACACTAGGTCTTGTTAGTTCCCCATTTTAAATATTTGCTGTGAGTTTTTGTTGCAGCCTTTACAGAACACCAGACAACTTGGGTGCAGTCAGTATATGACATCTTCATTGCGACTTCACTTTCTGCATTGGAGAAGGAAATGGCAACCCACTCCAGTGTTCTTCCCCGGAGAATCCCAAGGACGGAGGAGCCTGGTGGACTGCGATCTATGGGGTTGCACAGAGTCGGACACAACTGAAGTGACTTAGCAGCAGCAGCAGCATTGGTCATCAGACCGTTTTGGAGATACAGTGTGTTAATTGTGTTTTACTATAATCTCTTTCTCATCCTTAATTTATTTCTAGATTAGAGATGGACATTGTTTTTGTCTCAAGCTTTGAAAATAGACTAACATTTTAAATCCTTTCACTGGCCAGCTACAATGGCTGGCATCCTGTAGACACATGCCCAAGGGAGCATGCTGCTTCCGTTTCTTCACAGAAAGAAATCTTATTAAAAAAAAAAAAAGATAAATCTTATAAGGCTTCTGCAAGTTTGACCTAACAAAGAGCCCCAGAACTTTGGTAGTGAACAGCTCAGTATCACAGGGAAGCAAATTGTATGCCTTTTTATTTTTTTTTTTTATTTTTTTTTTTATTTTTTTATGTTTTGATGTATGCCTTTTTAGTAGTGTTGTATACAAAGGCTGCAGACATTTAGCTGGTAAGAGCTGTTCGTGTTCTTTGGTAAGGAGTTCACAGGTTGAATGGAATCTGCCAGAATTTATATTTGCTCTGTCTGCTGCTCCTGCTGGGGGTTGAACAGAGGCTGGTTTGTGTTTGAATACAACGTCTAGCAACCTTTTGTTTTATATTTTCTGTGTTGTATAAAAACTTCATAGAAGTCAAGATGTTTTTAAGACTCCAGTTTGGTTAGTTTTTCCTTCCTTTTGTTTAAAATAAATTAAACCACAGCACTGTCCAAAAGAAATACAATGCAAGCCACATGTGTAATTTAAAATTTTCTAATAGCCTCATTAAAAAAAAGAAACAGGTGAAATTCATGTTATGAAAAAAATCATTTAATTTGACATATCAAAATGAGTGTCTTAACAAGTAACCAGTATTTTATCAGTATAAAAGTTATTAATGAAATAGTTTGCTTTTTTTGCATACTAAGTCTTCAAAATCTAGTGTGTTCTACAGAACAGCCCATGTTTCTTTCCCTTAGATAATTTGTATAAATTTACTTGGAAGGAAATGGCCTGGGCCTTGGGGTACCAGTCCTGGGGCCGTCTTTTTTCAGATGAAAGATTGTAGTAGAACAGAGGGCCAATGCAGATTCTCCTCCAGTCTCTTCTCAGTCCCCCACCCCCTGCCAGTCCTTCCTCTGAATTCTCTGGTCTCACAGGTCTTGGACCTCCCAGGTTCTGAGACATCCACTGCCTTTCCATCAGCATTTCGCTCTGTAGCACACGTATCTTAGCTTCACCCACCTTCTCCGTTGTCATGCTTTTCCATCTTGCAAAATTATATTGAAATGTCTCTTCCACCCATTTGTCTTCTTGGATTGTTCACGTCTTGTGAGTTCATATCTTCATCCCTGTATAATCACAAGAGTGTGATGTGGGACGCTGAGAACGTAACACATGTAGTCAGTTTCCCACAGTCAACCCGAAATCAGTCCAGCTGTGTGAGAAGCTCCTGGGACTCAGGTCCCAGGCTTGAAATAATGTCTGGGGCTGAGCTGTGCGAACTCCCGTCTCCTTTTAGCACCAAGGACTTTTCCTCTTCAGTGCTCTGTTGTCTTCTCAAAGGCAGTGCTTTCTCTCTGGTCTCTCTTCTGTGTTTCTGAAAACTAACTTTTTAATTGATGTTTAACATATGTAGAGAGAAATACCCAAATCGTACGTGTACACTGGGTGAATTATCACAGAGAGGCTATGCTCATGGGACAGTGGATCCAATCAAGACTGAGATCTTTCTCAGTTGTGCTCCAGAAAGTGCCCTGCAGGCCCTCTCCTGTCACCAGCCCTCTCTCCTCCTCAGACTTAGCTCTGTCCTAACTGCTGACTCTGTGGGTTTGTCTTCACTATTTTTGAACTGGGGTATCAATTGTCCTGTGTTCAGTGTGGGTTTAGTTTGCATTTTCCATGCAGCAGCCTCTTCCCCTCCTGCACCCCTTTTATTTATATCCAGGTCTTCCCATTCCACATAGACTTCACGTGACTGTTCTTTCCCGCTCAGCAGATAGAACATCTGCCGTTGGGTGATGAGCCTCTGTGGCCTTCATCTGCATGGAGCTCATGTGAGATGATTGCCATAAACGGCCCCTGGACTGACACCCTAGGCTCCATAAGCCATCTCTCCTAAGGAGAAGACAGGCTTGAAAACCCCCAAGCCCTCCAGATCTCTTAGCTGACCTTCACTCTGGAGCCCCATGTGCAGTTTATGCATTTCCCCAAACCCTGGGTGGGAAGGAGGAGCTGACACGTGGCACTCTGCAGCAGGTGTGGTTTTTGTGTCCACAACGCCCTTCACGGTGACCCTGGAGCAGGAGCAGGGGCGTGGGGGGCAGCTGATGACCGTGGGCATCCGGTGCTGGAAGCTGCCCTCTGGAGTGGGACAGGCCTGGCAGTTGGGTGATGCCCTTTTCCCTTCTCTCTCCCAGAGCTTTACCCAACGAGTGCCAGATGCTCTTATTTTCAGCGACCTTTGAAGACTCTGTGTGGCAGTTTGCCGAGCGGATCATTCCTGACCCCAATGTTATCAAGTTACGAAAAGAGGAGCTGACCCTGAACAATATCCAACAGTACTACGTGTTGTGTGGGAACAGGAAAGACAAGTACCAGGCTCTCTGCAACATTTACGGCGGCATCACCATAGGCCAGGCCATCATTTTCTGCCAGGTAACTCCACTGGGACTTGCCTTCCTCGTGCCCAGACTTCCGAGCAGTTGGGGGCAGGGGACAGTCAGGTGACTGAGAGCCAGAGAGCCGGGCCCTGTGTTCCACACTGTTTATTCATGATGTCATTCAATTTTCAGAGCAACTTTGAATAGAGATTACTTGTATTTTATGGGTGACACTGAAGTAATGGAATAGGAGGACTTCAATATGACATGAAACAGAGGGCCTCCTCCTTTTATGTTTATTTAAAAAATTTTTTCTTTTTTGGCTATGCCATGCAACTTGCAGGATCTCAGTTCCCTGACCAGGGATTGAACCTGGGCCATGGCATTGAAAGCCCAGAATCCTAACCACTGGAATTAGGATCAGGGCCTCCAGGGAACTCCCCAGGCATCCTTCTTTTAGAGGGACTGCTTCTAACATGTCCCCATTCAGATCGATGTTTACTGTGGTATTTTCACAGATACCCTTTATCAGGTTAAGAATGTTCTCTTCATTTCCAAACTTACTATGAGCAAGGCAGCCACTCAGTTACTCACTGTTGATAGCCCCTTATTTTTCTTTTCATATTTACTTTTTCTCTCTGACGTTGTTCGTGTTCCTGTTCTTGATTGTATTTTTTCACCACTACATGAACAGTGTCAGCTCCATGAGAGCAAAGTCTGTTCCACATACCTCCATGCCCCCATCCTGGAAGAGCCCCACCCAGCAGTGGCTGGCCTTGGAAACACACCTGTAAAGGAAAGTGCAGCCCTGCCACAGACTGGCCATGTAACCCTGGGCAGATCACTTAATGGTTTTACGTTTTAGGTTAATTTTTTAGTTTTTTCAAATGAGCTTAGACACCTACTTCATCAGATCATTATGAAAGCAGATGAGCGTGATGTAAGTAAAGGCTTTTGCAAGGTGCCTGGCACACACAACAACTTAATCATCACTGTTGTCGTTCAGTCACTGAGTCGCATCTGAGTCTTTGCAGACCTGGACTGTAGCCTGCCAGGCTCATTTATCCATGAAATTTCTCAGGCAAGAATAGTGGAATGGATTGCCATTTCTTTCTCCAGGGGTCTTCCTGACCAAGGGATCAAACCCACATCTCCTGCTCTCTCGCATTGACAGGTGGATCCTTTACCACTGAGCCCGTCATCATTGTTAGGTTACCTCATTTTATCATCTGACCACCACAAGAGGTGGACAGAGCATTTTATTCTCTGTTTCAGGACTGAGAAGCAGAGCTCTGACAGGTTGAGAGGGTGTGCCCCTTAGAGGCCCGGGGGCAGGAGAACTCCCTGCCACATTCACAGGTCTCTCTAGGCCTGAAAGGAAAGGGGAGCAAAACCCCACTGCAACCCCGGTGTCCCCAGCTCCCATGCCCTGCAGACATGAGCACTGCACACACGGTGAGGCTGCTTCAACTTGGATGTGATGCTGGGCTTTGATTTTCCTGCAGACTCGTCGAAATGCCAAATGGTTGACTGTGGAGATGATGCAAGATGGCCACCAGGTGTCTCTGCTGAGCGGAGAGCTAACTGTGGATCAGCGAGCTTCCATCATCCAGAGGTTTCGGGACGGGAAGGAGAAAGTCCTTATAACCACCAACGTCTGCGCTCGAGGTGTGTATGTGTGTATTTAAAGTCAAGTTTATTGAGGTTATCATTTACCTGTGATAAAATTCACTCTTTTTAAGGATGTGGTTCAGTGAGTTTTGACAAACATATGTAGTCATGTACCCATCACTATAATCAAAATGCAGAACAACTCCATCTCCCCTCAAAATTTCTCTGTGCTCATTTGCAATTAGTCTCTGAAACTAATGGCCCCTTACCACTACTGAACCAGATCTCTGCCTCTGTATTTTTGTCTCTTCCAGAATGCCATGTAAGTTAAATCACTCAGTTGGTAGCCTCAGTGTCTTATTTATTTCTCTTGACATCATACTTTGGAATTCATCAGTGTTGTTACATGTATCAGCAGGTCATTCCTTTTCATTGCTGAGTAGTATTCCATTGAATGGGTGTACCGATTCACCCATTGATGGACATTTGGATTGCTTACAGCTCAGGGCTGTTTTGACTGAAACTGTAATAAACATTCATGTATAGGGCTCATGCAGACGTACATTTTCTTTTCTCTTGGGTAAATACCTAGGAGTAAGATTTCTCAGTCATAGGTCAGTGTATATTCAGCTTTAGAGGCAACTGCAGAACTGTTTTCCAGAGTAGCCATGCCGTTTTGCATTTCTACCAGCAGTATAGGAGGGTTCTAGTTGTTCTCCATCCCTGTCAGTAAGTGGTTCTGACACTTTTTCATCTCAGCTTTTCCAGGAGATGTATGTGGTGTCTTGTGTTTCTTACTTGTGTTCCCTAATGGCTAATGATGTTGGTCATCTCTGAGGTGTTTTTAACTTTAAAACTGTTGACTGCTGGGAAAAAAAAACCTTTGTTTTTTTTTTTCAAGCAAAGGGTCTTCCTGCTTTCCTCACTTCCCCATTGTATCCTTGCCTATACCACATACTCAAACCCTGTTTCCTAGTTTATTACTGGTTCACCCGACAGAACTGAGGACCTGCCATGAGGGCTAAGCCTGGCATTTTGGAGGAATAGCCTGAAAAAGGGCCTTCCATTTGGGAACACACCACCTCCTGACCCTCTAGACCAGCGCTGTCCAGTAGAAATGCTTGCACTGATAGAAATCTCCTATTTTCTGCTGTCCAAGCCATAGATAGTAGCTTTTGAGCACTGGGAGTGTGGCTAGTGTGGCTGAGGAACTGGATTTTTATTGTGAATTAATTTAAATAGGCTTGTAAAGCTAATGGTTACCATACTATACAGCACATCTGGAGAACCCCAGAGGAAAGGGGGCCCAGATAGCTCCAGAGTCAAAGCACAGTGCAGGGAGGACAAGGATCACGAGCCAGACAGCTTGGTAGTGCTGGGCGTGGAGGTCCCAGGCGAGCCCAGAAGTCTTCCTGGAAACATTAGGTGTGAGAAGTATGGATGAAGGGAGAGAACCCTTGAAGTCTTGATTTGTTTGTACTTTATCCTGTATGGTTTGGGCAGCCAAGTTCTAAACACAAGTGCTCTGGACATTGCTGTGGCAACCATGGTGAGGGTTAGAGGAGTAGGATATGAGGGACTGGGGAACCAGTCCAGAAATTATTATAGCAGTTGAGGCCATGGATAAAATTGATGAGAACATTGGCTGTGGAATGGGGCGGAGCTGGGACCCTGATGGGGAAGAGAACCTGCAGGGGACTTAGCACAGCAGGAGCAGAGAGAGGGGGCTCTTTGGCTCGGTGAGAGCCTGCACCCCCCGCCACACACACACACACACACACACACACTTTGTACATAGTTAAACCTCTCTAGAGTTCACTTCTACTGACACTCTTAACCTAGGATCGTAGACATACATACTTACAAACAAATGTATGTCAAAGCAGACTTGATTCTAGACTGTCTGTGAAATGAGAATCCCCTCAGCAAATGTGGTTTTTGGATAGCTGGGTCTTCAGGTGTCCTTCCTCTCCCAGGGATTGATGTGAAGCAGATCACGATCGTCGTGAACTTTGACCTCCCTGTGAACCAAGCAGAGGAGCCGGACTATGAGACCTACCTCCACCGCATTGGGCGCACGGGCCGCTTTGGGAAAAAAGGCCTTGCCTTCAACATGATCGAGGTGGATAAGCTGCCTCTACTGATGAAGATCCAGGACCACTTCAGTGAGTGGCACCCTTCACAATCAGAGCTGTGGACCTGCCCACATTGACAGTGACCATGTGTCGTCAGTGGGCCTCAGGCTCGGGGTTCATGATATAACAGGATGGGGGTGGGAACCAGACAGTAGGAGGTGTCCACTTCTCAGTGTCAGAGCTCCTAACCTGAGACAGGGGTAGAGAAAGACCTGAAAACCAAGTGGAGTTAATATGAGCTCAGATTTCTATTTTATTGCTCGTTGTGGGATCTGAAGCAGATTTCACATCCATAAAGAACCACCGTAAGTGATGAGATCCTGTAAGATTATATTGTGTCCCCAGCTTCCTTTTTTGTCTACATTTTCCTCTTCCCTGTTGTCCCAGTGACCAACTTGGGCAATCCTAAATCCTGAGTCTTGCTGCTTTCCTCCAGCCCTTCTTCGCCTCATCTAAACAAGACAGGCTCTGATAACCTGCTGGGAAGATGGCTGGGGAGCAGGCAAAGAGGAACCCTCACAGGACTCCAAACGTTATCTTTCACCTTTAGGACAGTGGTACTTATCCTCCGTGGGAAGCAAAGTGTACTGTCCCTGGGGGAGTGCACATAGGCACAGATGTGGACTTTGAAATATAATGTTAAAAGGTTTGCCTACTGACCCGTCAAGGGAAGTTGGTTAAGCGCTCCTCTGTTAGAATAACAGAGCAGGGATGGGTGTGGAGAGAGACCCACTGAGGTTGCCATTGCCGTGGTGATCAGTGCTCCCTGTTGCCATCCAGCAACGCCCCCCCAGGCATGTACACACCCACTTCACCCCCTGAACTCGGCCTGGCCCCTTCCCCGGCTCCCCTCACTGAGCTCTGCCCTTTTTTTCTGCCCCAAGGTATATAGACATGTATGTTTTCTTGTCTGGTGCATTTGATGCTGTTGTAGTTGGTGTGAATTGGTTATTTGGAAACCTGCCCGTCCTCACCTAATCTAGAAAATGTTCCTATCTTGAGGATTTCCATATGAGGTGTCACTGTCTTCAGAAATGTAGTTGAATGGAGTGAAATTTCATTTGGGCCCTGGGATAAGACTGTTCCATTCTCTTTTGCTCTTTTAGACAGCAGTATTAAGCAACTCGACCCTGAAGACATGGATGAAATTGAAAAGATCGAATATTGAAGAAATAACTTTATCATTTAGCTGTATTTTGGTTTATGTGAGACTGTAGGTTTTGAAGGTAATTTTTTATGTTGAGCCTTTTTCAACATGAAGCTGTTACATATGGCAAAATAAATGTCATGGTAGCCTTGGTTTTAAGACCTGAGGTTTTTTTGAACCAAATTGATGTGAAGCAGTTGATTCTTTTGAATAAAAAAGTGAAAAAAAAAAAGTGAGATAATTTCTTACTCCAGTCTCTTCACAGATAAACATCTTTGCAGGGCTGCTAGATGTTGTGGGATTTAGTTCGTATAAAGCACCCGAGTCGGTCATACCACCTGTGAACAGCTCAGGGCGCCACGAGATGGCAGTAGAATGTCACTGTTTTGGCATTTGAGTGGTTGACAAGTGCACCTCCCACCCCGGGGTCTCGCCCCCACCCCATCCACTGTGCACACAGCCCCAGGCACAGACACACACTGTTCCCTGTGAGTAGAGGGTAAAATCTTTACAAAGTAAAACAGTTTGAAAGAGAGAACGTTTTGCTTCTTTTTTAATGTTTCAACTGACATAGAGAATTTCAAAATATTTTCCTATTTTAGTTCTTAATGTCTTCAAATGAGAGAAGATTTAATCCATCCTCAGTTATTTTATACTCTATGAAAATGTGGTTTTATTATAGGCATTTCTTCAAGACAGGCAGTGGGGGTTGGGGGAGCCCACCTGCCTTATTAAAGAGGTGACATTTCAGGGAGCTGTTAGGTTTGCTTTTCAGACTCTCAAGGTGGATGTGAGAATCCTAGACATTTCCCTACAGGTCCCATTGAGATGCTTCTCATTTCTCACATTTACTTCTAGAAAAATGAAACAGTGGGCTTGAGTAAACAGGGTGGTGGCGGGGAATCAATACTCTCCCAGAAGGCCCGCGCAGGCTTTGCAATCCACGGCCAGAATCAGGCTACCGTTCTGTCACACCAGGCGGCCACCAGCGCCCTTGGGGAGTGTGCCTGTCATCCCAGGTTGGAGGGTGGTTCCCGGCCTATCTCTTCTGGTATTCCACGTGCGTGTCACCTGCCAATGTTTTATTCCCGTGGGCAGGGCTCAGACATAGATGAAAATCGTCCAACATCCTCATCCTCCAACGTATTCATTGTGCGTCCTGTAGGCTACACACCAAGGAAGAGAGATGAGTAAGATGTACCCGTCATGTGCGAATTCAGATCCTCACGGCTGAGACTCTGAATAAGTCAGCTTTCTTTTAATAATGGTCGTTGCTTAAATAAGGGGCACAGAGGAGGGAGCCCCGGCACCATGGGGGCCAACTTCCAAGAGGAGAAGACTGCATTTCCTTTTACCAGAGAGGACATAGGTTGCAAGATGCCTCCCGTCAAGTACTTAGCACCATCTTGCTGTCACCTAACAGGTCCAGATCCAGTTCATCACCAGAATTACCTGGAGAACTTGGGAGAAAAATGCAGATTTCTTCCCCATACTGTACACAGAAATCCAGACTCTCGTAGGGTAGAGCCCAGAAACACAGTTACCTGTCGTAGCCGAGAACAGGTAAAGCCACAGGTCCTTAAGACCACTGTGTTAGGGAGGAGATGCCAAGGCAAAGACAAGTCCCAGGGATAGAATCTATAAAATGTGGAGCTTCTGCCTCTGAAGGTCCATGCATGTTCTTTTACGTGTCTGCCTTCCTCTCTGGGCCAAATCAGCTTGTCCCCTCGGTACCCAGCCCCCAGCACCTAATACGCAATCAGTGAATACTTGTTCTGTTGCGTAAATATTCTCTTTCCATTTCTTCATTCACTAACATCCTTCCCTGATACTTGCCATCTTAGTTTTGAACCCCAGTCCTGTAGCACAAGATGAATAACCATAGGAAGTGTGGTCCTGTGGACCACAGGATTGCTAGACCTCTCTCGCTATTTGAGGATTGAGTTGGACTTAGCATCACAGTCAGCTGAGCATTGGGGATCTCCTAAACAAGACTCTACCACTTCCTCTTCCGGACCCGATCTCTAACAGAGTCTCTATCAGTTATCCTGGCAAACGCCTTCCATTTGGCAGCTGTTCCCACGGCGTCTGCACACAGTGCGCATCCTTCTCCCGCTTTGCCCCTCCACACTTCCCTTTGTCTCGCCACCGAGGAGGAGGAAAGCCATCCCCATTCTGTGTACATCTCAGCTGTCTGCACACTGACTGTCCGGTTTGCAAGTCAACATTCCCAAGGCTTGTCTCGGGAGCAGCACCCTGCTCAGAGCTGCCAGCAGTCTCCGCGTCCTCGTGCCTGGCTGGGCCAGATCGTCTCTCTCCGTAGACGCCTGCCTCAGAGAAAGAGTCCATGGAGAAGCTGGGAATGGCCAGATGATTCCAGCGCGTCTGGGAGTTGGGTTAATCAGCTGTGTATTACTTGGCACCAGATACTAAACCAGACCCATTCGGTTTATCTTGGCCAGCTTCAGACCATGAGCATATTGAAATTCCCGATTACATACAGCAGGGCTGTGATTTCCAGTGGGAACTGTGAGTGAACACCTTGCTGGCGGGGGCACAGGTCCTGGATGTTAGGTGATGGATCAGAGACAACCATGAATGACAGGAAAGACGAATGCACGGGTCCTGGTCTGGTAGGTTGTCTGACAGCCCTTCCCAGAAGGTGTGATGGCTTTTGCCCTTGAGAAAATGTTAATGCTCCCAGCACAGCTCAGGCCCCAGGAGAGCTCTGGCCACCTCCACACGTGTCGTCAATGGTGGAAAGTCTGGAGGATTGCTGGGGAGATGAGTGGTACCTTTCCAGACAAGACCCTGGGAGAGGAGCCAGTGTCCAACCTCAGTTCTGCTTTTGGTTCCCTGAGAGGCTCAGCCTTCTTCCCTTTGACTCAAGGCAGGGGGGGTGGGCAGGTCGGCTAGAGGACCCAGATTTAGATAGCACAACTGCAGGCACGGATGCTGCAGTGGGGTCCAGGGCAAGGGGCTCCCCATGGGCCTGCTTGTCTTCACCCTCTGAGCTCAGGGCCCTTCCTGCTGAACAGACAGCCGGGCAGGCTGGCGCAGAGGCCACGGTAGTTTCCCCCAAGGAACAACAGAAGAGTTGGGTCCTCTTAGCTCCTCCCCCTGCCCCACCCTTCACCACCTCCAGGGAGTCAGCTTGTATACTGAAGACCCTCGTGACATGGTAACCCACAGACCAAGNCCCCCAAGGAACAACAGAAGAGTTGGGTCCTCTTAGCTCCTCCCCCTGCCCCACCCTTCACCACCTCCAGGGAGTCAGCTTGTATACTGAAGACCCTCGTGACATGGTAACCCACAGACCAAGAAAAATCCCAGCCCTGTGCTATGCAGCAGGGAGCACCAGCGCTCAGCCTTGGGAGGACCTCCTGCAGAACTCCCCCCAGCATCTTTCTACGTCTTTCACTCAAGGCCTGAGAGATGACTTGGGGCTCCCACTCCTCCCTTCCCTCTGCAGACTCCTCCTCCCCCACGGTGCCGCTCCCTCCTCAGGCCAACATGCTCCTTTTTGTTCTGGGATCTCTAAGCAGGGATGGGGCAGCCGGACCACTGCCAGAGACACTGCCCTCTTCCTCCATTCCCCTTCCTGCTTCGTGTCGCAGCGGGCCCGGGCTGCTGTGACAGAATGCCACCGAGAGTGAACCAAGTCAGAAAGAGGAAGACAAATATCATATATTAACGCATATATAGGGCATCTAGAAAGATGATATGCTCCTACGTGCGGGGCAGCAAAGGAGACACAGACATAAAGAACAGACTTTGGAACTCAGTGGGAGGAGAGGGTGGGATGATTTGAGAGAATAGCTTTCAAACATATACATAACCATATGTAAAATAGATAGCCAGTGGGAGTTTGATGTGTGAGGTAGGGTGTCCAAAGCCAGTCTTCTTTGACAATGGAGGCGTGGGGTGGGGAGGGAGATGGGGGGTTCAGGAGGGAGGGGACACATGTATATCTATGTTCGATTAATGTTGCTGTATGACAAAATCCATCACAATGTTGTAATTATCCTCCAATTAAAATAAATAAAATATTTTTTTTTAAAACAAGCTCTCTCTCTGTATATATATATATATATATAAATACCACATAGACTGGGGGCCTTAAACAACAGAAATGTATTTCCTTAAATTTCTGGAGGCCAGGAAATTTGAGATCAAGGTCCGGCAGGGTCGGCTTCTGGTGACGTGCAGACTAATCTGCCTTCTCATGGTGTCCTCATGTGGCCGAGGGAAAGGGACATGCCTTCCACCTGGCGTCTCTAATCCCAGCGTCCCACCACGGGGGCCCCCTCCACTGCCCGATCACCTCCCCAAAGCCTCACCTGCAAGTACCATCGCATGGTGAGGCAAGAGGCAGTTAAAGTTTCAACATATGAACTTGGAGTGGAGGACAGTAGGCTTTCCTGGTGGCTCAGATGGTAAAGAATCTGCCTACCATTCAGGAGACCTGGGTTCAATCTCTAGGACAGGAAGATCCCCTGGAGGAGGAAGTGGCTACCCTCTCCAGTATTCTTGCCTGGAAAATTCCATGGACAGAGAAGCCTGGTGGGCTACAGTCCATGGAGTCGCAAAGAGTCAGACACAACTGAGTGACACACACAGAAGCACCATTATCTCTTTTTAATGTGGTCTTCCACCCTGCCTTTAAATATGAAGCTTTTGGACTCTTCTCACAAAATACAGGAAACACACGTGAAATGGGATGATTCCTGGTTAAGAGAAGCACTCGTGTGTCCTGCAAACCCAGGCCAGAGTTCCACTGCCCATGTGGGGCTGCCAGCCCTCCCTCTCCGCTCATCAGCCTTGTACTTCTGGTGCTGAGCTTAGGCTCAACCAGAAGCACTAGGAGAATGAGAAAGATGAGCATGGAAAAGATGGCCTTCCCCATCTGGTATTCAGAACAACTGAAAGAATTTTCTAAATGAGAATCTTTACAGATCTAAAAGTCTTTAGTTTCAGGACCTCCCTGGCTGTCTGGTGGTTAAGACTCCGCTGAGCTTCCATTGCAGAGGGCACAAGTTTGATCCCTGGTCGGGGAACTAAGATTCTACATGCTGCATAGCACGACCAAAACAAAGAAAAAAAAAAGGCTTTAGTTTTTAGGGAGAAGCATAGGCAAATATCTGTTGCACTTTAGGGATTCATTTCTTTCTGATAACTTTTTTTTTCTATTCAATAGAGTAGCCGTGGGTGTCTACATTCCCATTTCTACTA